GAATGGAAGAAAAAAATAATAAAAATCAGAGCAGAAATAAATGAAAGAGTTCATACAAAAGATCAATTAATGCAACACATGGCTCTTTGAAAAAATACACAACATTGACAAACCTTTAACCAGACTCAAGAAAAAAAGAGAGGACCCAAATAAATAAAATCAGAAATGAGAGAGGAGAAGTAACAACAGACACCACAGAATACCAAGGATTGTAAGAAAATATTACGAACAACTACATGTCAGCAAACTGGGCAATCTGGGTGAAATGGACAAATTCCTAGGAACATAATGTCCCAAATCTGAGTCAGAATAAATCAGAGACTCTGAACAGACAGATTACAACTGTGTAACTGAAGCAGTTAAAAAAAACAAAACAAAAACAACTCCCAACCAACAAAAGTCCTGGACTGGATGTCTTCACAGGTGAATTTTACCAAACATTCAAAGAACTAACACCTCTCCTTCTCAAACTATTCCCAAAAATTCAAGAGGAGGGAAGACTCCCAAGCTCATTTTATGAGACTGGCATTATCCTAATTCCAAAACCAGATAAAGACACTACAAAGAGGGAAAATTATAGGCCAACATCCCTGATGAACACAGATGCCAAAATCCTCAAAAGAATATGAGAAAACCAGATCCTACAATACATTAAAAAGATCATACATCATGATCAAGTGGGATTTATTCCTGGGATGTAAGGTTGGCACAATATCCACAAATCAATACATGTGATACACAGCCCTGGCTGTTGTGGCTCAGTTGGTTGGGCGATGTCCCACAAACTGAAAGGTCCTGGGCTCTATTCCCAGTCAGGACATGTGCCTAGGTTGCAGGCTTCATCCCTGTTGGGTCACATAGGAAAGGCAATCGATCAATGTTTCTCTCTCTCTGTCTTTCTCCTTGTCTTCCCCTGTCTCTAAAATCAATAAGCATGTCCTCAGGTGAAGATTAAATATAAATATATAAAATGAAAAAATAAATGTGATATACAACATTCAACAAATAAAGAATAAAAAGCACATGATCATATGTAGCAGAAAAAGCATTTGATATAACCCAGCATCCATTTTTGATAAATATTCTCAGCAAAATGGGCATAGAGGGAACATACCTCAAAGTAATAAAGGCCATATATGACAAACCTACAACCAACATTATAGTGAATGAGCAAGAACTACGAGGGATTCCCTTAACATTGGGAACAAGACAGGGAGGCCCACCTTCACCACTCTTATTCAACAGAGTACTGCAAGTCTTGGCCACAGCAATCAAATAAGAAGAAGAAATAAAAGGCATCCAAATTGGAAAGGAAGAAGTAAAACCGTCATTATCTGAAGACATGAAACTATACACTGAGAACCCTAAAGATTCCTCCAAAAAACTATTAGAACCGATAAATGAATTCAGTAATGTAGTGGGATACAAAATAAGTATCTGTAAATAGTTGCATTTTTATACACCAATAATGAACTATCAGAAAGAAACTAAGAAAACCCATTCACAACTGCATCAAAGAAAGAAAACACCTAGTAATAAATTTAACTAAAAATGTAAAACACCTGCCCTTGGAAACTTAAAAGACATCAAAGGAAAAAGACTGAAGAAGATACACACAAATGCAAGCAGATACTGTGTTCATGAATTGGAAGAATAAACATTAAAATGTCCATATTCCTCAAAGCAATATCAAGTTACCAATGGTGTATTTCACAGAACCAGAACAAATATTCCAAAAATTTACATGGAATCACAACCCATCTCGAGTAGCCACAGCATTATTGAGAAAGAAGAACAAAGTGGGAAAAATCATGCTACCTGACATCAGACTATACTACAGGGCCATAATAATCAAAACAGCATGGTACTGGCATAAAAACAGAATACAGATCAATGGGACAGAATAGAGGGCCTAGAAATAAACCCATGCCTTTATGGACAGATAGTATTTGACAATGGAGGCAAGAATGCCCAGTGGCATAAAGACAGTCTATTCAATATATAGTGTTAAGAAAATTGGACAGATAGATGCAAAAAAAAAAAGAGAGAGAGAAAGAAAGAAAACCGACCACCCACTTACACAATACATGCACACACACACAAAAAACTCAAAATGGATTAAAGACAAATGTGAGACCTGAAACCACAAAAATCCTGGAACAAAACATAGGCAGTAAAATCTTGGATATTTCTCCTAGCAATATTTTTTCTGATATATTGCCTGGGTCAAGGGAAATGAAAGAAAAAAAAATGGTACTACATCAAACTGAAAAGCTTTTGCACAGCAAAAGAAACTATCAGTAAAATGAAAAGAGAACCCAGTGAATGGGAGAACATATCTGCCAATGATACATAGTTAAGAGATTTAATATCTAAGATTTATAAAGGGCTTGTAAGACTCAAGACCAAAACAAACAAACAATCCAACTGAAAAATGCGCAGAGGACCTGAGCAGACACTTCTCCCAAGAGGACACGGAGAGAGCTGAGAGACATATGAAAAGATGCGCAACGTCACTAATCACCAGAGAAATGCAAATTAAGAACAGAGGTATCACTTCACACCTGTCAGAATGGCTATCATCAAATAAATCAAAAAACAACAAGTGTTGGCAAAGATGCAAAGAAAAGGGAACCCTCCTGGGCCATTGGTGGGAATGCAGACTGGTGCAGCCACTGTGGAAAACAGTGTGGAGTTTGCTCAAAAAATTAAAAATGGAACTGCCTTTCGACCCAGTGACTCCACTTCTGGGAATCTGAAGGAACTCCAAAGAATATATGCACCCTTATATTAATTGCTGCATTATTTACAACAGCCAAGGTTTGGAAGCAGCCCAAGTGCCCATCAGTAGATGAGTAGATATAAAAATGCTGTGGTGCATTTACACAATTGAATATTGCTCAGTCTTAAAAAAGAAGGAAATTTCACCCCTTGCAACAGTATGGATGGACCCGGAGAGCACTGCGCTAAGTGAAACAACCAGTCAGAGAAAGGCAAGTACCATATGATTTCACTCCTAGGTGGGATCTAATAAGCAAAATAAACAAACAAAACAGAAACAGACTCACAGATACGGAGAACAGACTGACAGCTGTCAGAGAGGAAGGGGGTCAGGGGCTGGGTGAAACAGGTGAAGATTAAGCAAAAAAACCCACCAAAACCAAAACCAAAAAGAAAAAAAGCCTCACAGAAAGAGAAACCTCATAGACACAGACAAGAGAATGCGGACGACCAGAGGGCAAGTGGGAAGGGAGGAGGCAGAGGAGGGTGAAGGGAGACGAGCCACGATGGGGGGAGTTGGCTTGGGGTGGTGAACACAATACAACATACAGATGATAGAATGCGGACTTGTGTACATCCGAAACCTGTACAATGTTATTAACCAATGTCACTGCAATAAATTCAATTTTTAAAAATCTGGAAAATTGAAAAAAAGTAAATAAAAATAAAAAATAACACTTATGAATAAAAAAAGAGTATGACACCCTGCATTATTTACAATAGTCAAGATACGAAAATAACCAAAGTGTCCATCAATAGATGAGTGACTAAAAAAAGCTGTGGGACATTTACACAATGGAATATTACTCAGCCATAAAAAAGAATGAAATGTTACCATTTATGACAGCATGGATGAACCTACAGGGTAACATGCTAAGTGAAATAAGTCAGTCAGAGAAGGACAAATACCATATTATTTCACTTATATGAACCCAGAGGGCAGGGGGTTGGATGACTGGGTGAAAATCTTGAAGGGAGTAAGAAGGACAAACTGGTAGTTGCAGAACAGTCATGGGGACGTAAAGTCCAGCACAGGGAATTCAATCAATAATATTTTAGTAAGTATATATGGTACCGGGGGGCACTGGGAACAATACTCAGGGGAACACTGTAGAGCTTTGTAATTGTCTAACCACTAGGCTGTACACTTGAAATTAATACAAAATGATATTGAATGAAAAATAAAAAGAGTATGCAAAAAATTAAGTTGGCCATACCTCTTAGGATAGGTATAATTGAAAAGAGAAAGAAAATACAGGTGTTGGTTAGGATATGGAGACACTGGAACCCTTGTGCATTGCTGGAAGGCACATAAATGGTCCAGCTGCTGTGGAAAACACTTTGGCAGTTTCTGAAAAAGTTAAACATAAAACTACCGTATGACCAAGCATTTCTGCTCCTAGGTATATATCCAAAAAAAAGTTCAAAGCAGGGACTCAAACTGGTACCTGTACATAATGTTCACAGGAGCAGTCACAGTCACCGAAAGGTGGAAACAGCCGTAGTGGCCATCAACGAATAAATGGATAAACAAAATGTGGTATACACACACATACAATGGAATCTTTTTCTGCCAATAAAAAGAAATAAAATTTTGATGCATGGTACATTACGGATGAACCTTGAAGACATCATGCTTAGTGCAGTGGCCAAATAAGGACAAATATTTTATCTTTCCACTTACATGAAGCATACAGAATAGGTAGATTCACAGAGACAGAGTAGATTTTTCCAGCGGTTGGGGAGACAGGGATAAGAACGATTTACTGTTTAATGGGCACACATTTTTGTTGGGGATGATGAAAAGGTTCTGGGTGTAGACAGTGGTCATAATTACATACAGTGTGAGTGTAGTTAATGTGGCTGAATTGTTCACTTATAAATGTGTAAAATGATAAACACTGCGTCATGTCATTTTTCCAGTTAAAATTTTAGAAGTCATCACCAACCTGCACTTTCCCCTCCCCCGACACAAAAGGGACGGGTGGGCATCCGCCGGGTGAGAGCGCGAGGGCAGTAGCCAGAGGAGGGGCCACGGTCTGGGCTCTGTCGCGCTCCTCCTGCCGCAGGCCGGGGCGTCTGCTGCGGAGGCCTGCTGCCTTCCCGGCGCGGCGTGACCGCGTGGATGCCCCGCGTGTCCAGTGGCCCAGCAGTGGGCCGCTACCTCAGCAGAAGAGGGACTGCACCCCTCCCCACAGCGAACACACCCCTGGGCTCACCTTGGCGGCCTGAGAAGCAGCGAGTTCTCTGGTGAGCTCTTCCAGGGCCTCCCTGTTCCGGCCACAGAGCACCAGCTTAGCACCTGCGGCGAAGAAGACTTTGGCGCATTCTGAAGGTAGAAGAAGAGAGAACCTTGATGGCTGAGGAAATTCAATGCCTTTCTTCACCAATGCAGTTCAAACTTACCCGGTGTTTCAGAATATGTATTGTTTCCACATGCACCGCACATACGTATACTAGCCACAGTTACGGCCCGGGCGTGGTGCTAGGAATTCGGGTCCAGTGATCGAGGAGCTCTGCCGCTGCCTTAGAGAGCTCGCGTTCAGTGGGCTACCACACATCCACAGGGCAAGGGGGAGACGGGGCTGGCTGACAGATTCGTTAGGTCCGGTGCTCAGAATGTTCCACAGTCATCTCTAGTTCTGAATAACCCTGGGAGCAGTAGCCCCGTGTTCAGAGCCGAGGCAGCTCAGCGACGTCGAGAGATGTGCCTGGGACAGATGGCACAAGCGACTGTGCAGCGCGTCCGCCGGGGCCAACATCCCAGCACAGCCCAGCTGTTCCCCAAGTCACTTGAATGCAAAAGGTGCACATCTCCCGGGTGTGCGTACACGGTTCTGGAGGGACGCGGGGACACGGGACCCTGCTGAGAAGGGATGGGGAGGCCCAAGGGGCTGTTTTCCGGGGAGTGTGAGAGGCAGAGGGAGCAGAGTCCACAAAGCGCCTGAGCGGGCACGGACAGCCGGACAGCCGGACAGCCGGACAGCCGCAGCGGGGATGGGGAAGCGGGGGGTGGAGCGGAGCGCGGAGAGTTCACTAGCCTTGCTCGGCTGTGAAATAACACAGCCGGAGAGCAAAGAGCTGAAGGCTGCTGAGTGCTGACAGCAGCCAAAGACTATAAAGGGGGGCATCTTAAAAGGCGTCCCCCTGCGGGGTAGGAAGGAAGGAGGCTGAAAAAGACCAGGCTCCACTGAGCCCACTACTACCCTCCCGGTGGCGAGGAGGACGTCCACCAAGACCATGGCGAGGAGTAGTCCAAATTACCTAGGCATCGCTATTAGTCAATATTCTTTTGGAGGCAGGAAAAGAGACTCAACTCATACTGCAGCAAAGCAAAAACAGATTTATCTGGAGGATTCTAGGATAGCTCAAGCATTAAGGGAAAAAAAGCTGAATGGCCAAGACATGCAAGGACAGGCGTGGGGGTTGCCCAGGGCCTCTAGCGGTAGGAGCCAGGCTCTCGCGATGTGGGCTCACCCTTTCTCCCTGCCCCAGCCCAGCTCTGTGCTCACACCGACACAGCCCCCCTGCCAGGCAGGAGGGGCCTCTGACTTGTCTCCTCCAAGCTCCGATGTCAAAATCTCAGCGAGGGACTGTGCTCAGCTGGGGGCAGGGGGGGCGAGCATCAGTAGGACTAGCCCGGCAAGGGTCCCACTTAACTCCCATGAGGTCAAAGAGAAGGGGAGGGAGGGGAGACCACCAGAACCCGGGGCTGACCAGAGCGGGAGAGGGAGGAAGCAAAGGGTGGGGTCCTCTTCTTTCTTGCTTGCCCTGTCCCCACACGTGTCCTGACTAAACGTTCAGTGCCCTGAAAACTTGCAGCTTATGAAAACCAATCCAGCCAGGTGGTCAAGAGGACAGACTAGACTTCCTGTGTTCACCTCTGACTTCCCACACTTACTGGCACTGCGATCCTGGGTTCAGCTATGACCTCTGTTTCTCACTTTCCTCTTATGTAAGATAAAGATGGAAGCAACACTGGAATGGAATGAATTAAAGTACATACAAAGAACGTTTTTTAAAAATGTACTACAGAAGTGTTTTTGTACTTCTAAGCTGCCCTTTAAAAATGCTCTGAAAACTGACTGCTGGTGAACACTGAGATGCGGGGGGCTTCAGGAGGCACCGCCTGTCCTCACTCAAGGCCTCGTCTCCTCGCCGGACCCCGGGCAGGTCCGTGCAGACCCCTCAGCCCCGAGCTGACCACTGTCCCGGACGGAGTCTCAGGGTGGAGGCGGTTGGAGGTGGCCCGGTGCCGCCTTGGCCCACAGAAGAGGCAGGGCTGCCCCGGCAGCTGCTCCAAGAGGGGGGAGGGGTCAAGGCTGTCACTTCCTCTCGTGAGCCGACGGTGGGAGGACCCAGGCAGTGTGTGCTGGTCTGACGGCCCTTCCTCCACAAAAGTGTCAAAATTTCCTAAAGCTAAAAGGCTTCCAAACACCAGAGAAGAAATTCTAGGACCCTCCAGGAAGAGAGGAGTCTGGGCCTCCGGAAGGCCTCAGGTGCAAAGGCCTCCCTTTGCACCCCCCACCACACCCCGCTCCCCGGCCCTTTGGCTGCTCTGCAGCTTCTGCTCGGCCACACGCAGGCCAGCACCTCCCTGCCCATCCCCAGGCAGAGCTTCCTGGAAGGAGGTGCTAAGCCAACACATTCTCACCTGTGCCTACCATCTTCTTTGAAGATCTGGTTGGCTTGTTCAAGGGCATGAGTCCAGACAGGGCTGGAGCCCCGCTCGCCTGCCCCGGGGTGGCCTGGCCAGGGCCGCTGCTGCCCTGCCTGCCCTGCTGGGCTTCTCAACAGAGCAGCAGAGGCTTCAGGGGCTGGAGGGGGCAGGGGCGGGCCTGGCACTCCCGCGGCCAGGGCTGCTTGGGGGTCACTCAGTCACTCCCCGAGAAGAGGGGTTTCCAGCTCTGGTGGCCACCCCTTCTGTCCCTTCTGTCCTGCCCTGGCCAATGTGAGGGGCATCTTGTGCGGTGCCACTAAGGGCGCAGACACACAGAACCAAAGGGGGGCACACTGGCATATGAACAGTTTCTGGAAAACGGCCACCCACCTTCTGCTTAAGCGTCGCTTCATACCAGAGCCAGAAAAGGAAGACATTAGTTTGTGCAGGGAGCGAGAGAAATGAAAATAACAGATTGGAGGGATGCCGCTTTCCTTTCTGAAAAAGCTGGTATGGAGGGCAAGAGGGTCAAGGGCAAAGAACGAGTCCCAGGCACTACCTCCCCGCCACCGCACTGCTGGCTTTGGTGAATTGAGACAACAGCTCGCAGCCCAGGGCTGGCTCAAGGGGCGTCCAGAACCTCCCGTCTCTTTACAAGCACAAGTGCCTGGAACATAAATGCACAAAACAGGAGCACTGCGGGAAGCTGCCGGCAGGCTCTTCCCATGCCTGCAGCCCCCCGAGCCGCTTACGTGGCGGGCAGAGCCCGCACGGGCGGTGCAGGGCCCGCTCTCACAGCACTGCACCCTGGGCCGCAGCCGCAGGGGCGCCTGCGCCGGACGCGGCTGCTCGTCAGTCTGCTCCTGTTTCTCTGGCTGGAGAGGGAAGAGGTATATGGATTCCTATCCAAATATAAGTACAGTGACACGTAATTCAGGAAATGGCTGACATTCTAGCTATCAATTGATCGATCGATATACAGATCAATATACTTATAAATCGACCTAAGTATATGCATGGTTTTTTTTAATTACACTTGCTACTCCCCTTCCAGTCTTGGTGTCTGGAAGAGGAAATGGGGAACGATGAAGAGAACAATGCCCGTCTCGAGTGTCCCTCTCAAACACCCACATATTGGAGCACCTGCAAGTCCAGACCTTTCCATTTCGGCCAACTGTCAAATGCTCCTCAAGGACTCAAACAACACCCGCTTCTCTCGGAGGCAGGAGAAGCAGCTGGTGCCTGCCCTATATATAGCATCTGGGTAAGGTCAGAAGACCAACTGTGGTAAAGGCCGTGGAGGCAGCTGTCTCCATGCAAGCCTGGGTATCTAATGACAGACCCAGGGTTCACCCCCAGAGACCCCGCCTAAACATCTCCGTGGCGCACAAATGCACTCATGCCAGCTACAGCCTTCCCGGGCCCCCTGCTGCCTGCAGGATGAGCCCGATCCGCTCCTCCGCGTCCCCGCGGCACCCAAGTGCTGCCAGCCCCGCAGGGCCGCTCCGCTCCCAGCCGGGGCTGCTCTGCGACGCCGCCCTCCCTGCTGGCCCGCCCTTCCCCCTCCTCGGCCATCTCCCCCTCAAGGGAGACAAGACGGCGTTCTAGAGTCAGACAGGTGGGGGCTTAAACCTCAGCGTCACCCTTTCTGGCCACAAGTCCTAGGGCAAGTCGTACCTCTCCTGCACCTCAGCTGTAGGGATTCAGTGACACAAAGCGCAGGCCGCACGGACGGCCATGCCTCCCCGAGCAGGCCTGGCGGGAGCGCCCACTGCTGAAGTGGCAGCGTGCCAGGATGGGAGCCTGTCTCTTTCTGTCAGGCCGCAGGCTCCTTGAGGGACAGAGCCCTGTCTTTCATCTGTTTGTCCCCCAACCTGGCCCAGAGCCGTGCCCGTGGGAGGCCCTCCATCAGCGCTGGCTGCACTATCACCAACCAGTGGGGGGTCTCTGCCGCAGCTCGGGGCACTTCTCCGTCTTCCACGGAGCTGAGCTCGAGTGTGGGCGGTGCTGCCGGGACGCGGAGCGTGAGCGGGTGCTGAGCAAGCACGGGACGCCACGCCACAGGCCCGCGCTTGCCCCCGACGCTCTGCTGTGGGAGGGGAAGCTTCCCTTCTTCCCTTCTAAGTCCTGTGGCTGGTCTAATAGTTAAATTGATTAGATTAACAGGAGAAAAAAATTTTAATTGTGTATGCAGGGGATTCCCCCCACCACAAACAGGAGGTGCTAAGAAGTGGCCAAAGCAGGCAGCTGTAGTCTTTCAGGAAAAAACAAACCCAGACCAAAGCAATAAATCAGTGACAACTGACAACACAAAGGGGTTTGAGCTTTGAGCAGTAAATTAGCAAAGAATTAACAAGGTTTGTTTCCACAGCCTTCTTGGCCTTGAATATACCATCTCTGGTGATAAGGATGCCTTCGACTCCTGGTACAGGGAGGGCAACTTTTTTTTTTTAAAGATTTTATTTATTTATTTTTAGACAGAGGGGAAGGGAGGAGGGAGAGAAACTTCAACGTGTGGCTGCCCCTTGTGTGCCCAACCAGGGACCTGGCCCGCAGCCCTGAGAATCTAACTGGCGACCCCCTGGTTCACAGGCTGGTGCTCAATCCCCTGAGCTACGCCGCCAGGGTGCTTTTAAAAATTGTTTTCAATCACAGTCTACATTCATTATTTTGTGTTAGTTTCATGTGTACAGCGCAGTGGGTGCACAGTCACATACTCTACCCAGTGTCCCCTCTCCCCGGGGATTTCCGGGGGCCCCAAGCGCCCCACTTTCAGGGGGACATGCGTCCTGCTTCCAAGGGAACAGGGGAGGTTCGGGGGCTCCTGCTCTTTTTGCACCAGCTGTTTCTTAAGTGCCTTGAATTGAAAATAATCGATATGCCAAAGTGGCATATTTTGGGGTGACATATTGCTCCCCTTCATTACCAAAGTCAATATACACATATGGAAGGGAAACGATGAGAGCTCTACAGAGTCATTTGTGTTGGGAGGAGGGGCGGCAACTGGCTCCAGACCTGTGTCCACCACACCGTTCCTGGGGCCTGGCAGCTCAGTGTGCTCACCAAACTGGGGCGGGGCCAACCTGGGGGACCGGCTGAGCTGAGGCTGCACCCTCCAGCCCTGCTGAGGCTGTGGCCAGGGTGCAGCTGGAGACACGGCCCCGTCCACAAGAGGCCATAAACCAGGCGTGCTGGCTGGACCCAGGAAAAGGCATGCTTTGTTTGGCCCTCAAGGGGGTAATTAGTTGCCCATATTTGAAAACTGGGAGCCTTCACATAAAAGCCCCATTTCAACAACCAGCAGGAGCCAAGCAAGGCTGCCCCTCGGTGGGACATGCAGACCCCGGTTTGCCGTGGCTTCCTCGCTGGCCTCTGAGTCCCGACATGGATGCTAGAAGCCTCGCTGCCCTCAGGGTCTTGCTTTTTACCAACTAGACGGAGGATGGTGACACACTATTGTCCCTGAGTTGCCAGCCTGCCGGTGCTGGTGGCTCCCGAGTAGCTGAGCCACGCCCCACGCCCAGGCCGGCTTTCCTGCCCCTGCGGGCACTGCTGCCCAGACCCACCTCGCCCCAGTCCCGAGGTGGCGCCAGTGATGACCACCACAGCACCCTGGACATGGGCCTTCATCCGCAGGCACCGCAGCAGCTTGAAGAGGCTGAAGATGCCCACAAAGCCGAACAGCAGCGGCAGGAGGGCCACGGAGGTCATGGCCCTGGCCGTCAGCAGACTCGTCCTGGAAGAACCAAAACCGGATGAATTAATGACAAAAAGGGGAGAACTCAAGATGCCGGCCGACCGTCCTCCCCCGGGCGTGACACAGAGCCTGGGCACCTCCTGGGAGGACCTCGGCTCTGCGCCCGCCCCGGGAGCTCCGCCTCGCTCTGCACAGCCCTGCGTCCGTCCCCGCAGACCTGACGATGCCTCCCAGAGGTGCACGGCGGGACCAGCACGCTGGCACTCACCTGCCTCTCCTTCAGAAGCCTGTTTTGGGAAACATAAGTAATACCCAGTACCATTTTAAATGCCTAGGTACTTGTGAAACTAGAATTTTTGTTTGTTTGTTTTAAAAAAATGACAAACCATATGGATGTTTCTACTCTCCCTGAGTGGATGGATGGTATCTGGGATGGTCCACAAATGCGCTCCTGCCACAGGCCTCGCGGACCCCCGGGGGGCACCCGGCACGGGGCGGGGGGGTCCCTCAGCCAAGTGTGGGCACCGATGCGGGCTGCTGCGCTGCGGTGTCCCGGGCGCATCCTCACTTAGCTGTCGCTGGCGGGCCACAGGCCGCCAGGAGAAACCAGGTGCCGCAGGGGTCTGAGCGGCAGCGTGCTGTCAGTCCTTAGGGAGCAGACCCGCTCCTCCCACAAGCGCCCCTAATCCCCTCGCTTCCCCCTCACTCCTCCAGCCTCCGCCATCGCTCACCTATGCCCCTAGCCCAAAGCAACAACAGCTAAGAGGGGGGACGAGAGCTTAAATAAAGGCCAAGGGTGAGTCAGCGAGGAGCAACTCCATGTCAGTAACTCTGAGAGAAACGCCCCATGAGGCCCATCGACAGGTGGGCCGGAGTCCCTTGCACAGAGGCCCGCCCACGGTCCCCCTCCAGGGCTGCGGTGCTTGAGCACTGGATTCTCTTCAGGAGGGAAGAGGCTGGAAACCGAGGGCAGGGTTCCTGTGAAGCAGCCTGAAGCATCCACTTACTCATCGGATGGGGAGTAACCACGCAAAACCCTCACCCACCTGCTAAATGTCCCATCTCCTCAACTCCTTATATTTAAAGAAGAAATTTTGGCTTCCTGTCCCAAGACAACTGTGTGTGTATCCGCTGTGTGAGCATCATGAAGCCAGAGCCCACTGAATACCAACAGGGACCCCCCTACCTCCTGAGCTGCTTTGATCTCACAGTTTAGGGTAGGCTGTCCTGATCAAATCTAAACTGTTCCAAGGCAAAAGGGGTCTGCTCCAATTTGAACGATCAACTCAGATAGTCTAGTATTTAGTTCAATTTTTCACCTGCCTTTCCAAATACACCGAAATTCTCATTCACCACAAAAAATTAACATTCACCCTGGCCGGGTGGCTCAGTGAGTTGGAGCGTTGTTCCGCACTCCGCAAGGGGGCAGGTTTGATCTCCGGTCAGGGCATGTACCTGGGTTGCAGGTTCGATCCCTGGTTGGGGAGTGTACAGGAGGAAGCTGATCGGTGTTTCTCTCTCACATCAATGTCTCCGTCTCTCTGTCTCTCTCTCTTCCTTTCTCCCTCTCTCTCTAAAATCAATAAACATATCCTTGGGCAAGGATTTAAAAATAATTAACATTCTTGGATAAACAGCTGGAGAAATACTGTTCTCCATCAACCTCCATTTAATCTACTTCTGAAAACCCCCCATCCGCTGTCTGCTAAGTGGATAGATACACTTCACTCACTCCACCCTGTGCCAAGCCCCCAGTTAGACGAATGGGTCATTAGGGGTGGTATGTAAAGGGTCGAACTCTTCCTGGGTACTAAGGGCACCACCCCTGCCCCCAACGGGGAGCTCGGGCCCGGCACCCTGGCTCATAACTCAGGCTGAATCCCAGGGCAGATGCTAGGACCCAGGGACCCTTTGCCTGGCACCTGGGAAGCACTTGACAGCGCAGCAGAGTGCAGGCCCCGCGCCGCCCCCGCTCCTCCGGCCTGCAGGTGCTGCGGAGACCCTGCCAGGGCCCAGGCCCTGGCACCCGCTGGGCGTGTGAGGTTTCCTGGGGTGGGGGAGTGCCTGCTGGGTGGCGGCAATGACTGCCAGGTTGTTGGTGTAGCTCTACCAGAATATCAGAGCAATTGACACAAAACACAGGTCGGCCCCAAGGTACTTCTAGCTCAGAAGTTCTCAGTAATACACTTGGGTGGGCAAGGATTTCAACCCAGCAAGATAGCTCTTTGGGAAGACCTTTTTCCCCACTGCAGGCTCAGACCCTTCTAGTAGACAGGTCCCAAAGTGAACCACCCTGCCTGCCCAGAATCACCCAGGAACCAGCTGCTCCCGAGAATGACCAGGGATGGGGACACTGTGGCGGGGGTCATACCGCTCATAAAAGGACTGTGGGGCTGGCCTCTGGGCTGGGACCTAGACCTCCGTGGGGTCGGCCCCGGGGCACAGCCCTGCACCCCCCCAGAGCCCCGCCAGAGAGCCTGCCTGTCCCAGGCCCGCAGCCGCGGGCTGCGCCTGCCCTGTTCTGCCGCTCAGAGGTTTCAGAGACCGCCCCCGGAAAACACAAACTGACTGCCGCTAGGTGGCGGCACCGCAGCGGTCACAGGACGGACCCAGCCCGCCTGGGATGTGGGTTCACATCCGGGTTCAGCCGCTCGCCAGCCTCGTGAGGGACCTCACGGCTTTGAGCATCAGCACCCTCGCCTACAAGAGGAGGACGTGCGCCACCTGCCTCGCAGGTGTGTTGCGAGGTCAGCCGAATCAGGACAGGGACACGGCGCGTGGTCCCGGGTGCGGAGCAGGCGCCCAGCAAACGCGGCCGTGACAGCGCCCTCACAGCCCAGCTGGCCACCAGCTCCTGGCCCAGGCGGCGGCTTCGCAGTGATCAGACTCCCGAGGTTGTTGGGAAGAGTCCCTAGTTTATGAAAACCGGTTTCTTCCAAAGAAAGGAAACTCATTAAACATACCATTTCTTGCCCTGAGCCCTGGCTGGTGTGGCTCAGTGGACCGAGAGCCAGCCTGCGAACCAAAGGGTCGCTAGTTCAGTTCCCAGTCAGGGCACAGGCCTGGGTTGCGGGCCAGGTCCCCAGCAGGGGGCGCGGGAGATGCAACTTCGCATTGATGTTTCCCTCCCTCTCTTTCTCCCTCCCTTCCCCTCTAAGAAAAAAAAAATTTTTTTTAAGAATCTGTTGCTATCACATAACTTAAAAAAAAAAAAATACATTTCTCTGTAGTTTTAAATTGTTATTCCTTCATATCTTTCATTTAATTAACAAAGAGAAAAACCCAGCTCTGTCAAAAGTCAGGATCCCATGCCCCACCGTGTGTGTCAGACAGACACTGCGGCTGCCCTAACAGCCATGAGGCCAACACAGCCGGGGGAGAGCATACAAGCGCGGCAAGGGCCCCCTCGGTTTCCGCAGGCCCACGGAGGGCGGGGCTCCCCGCTGGGAGACAAGCCCATGCACCGCGTTCAAATGACGACGCGAGGGGGAGGGAGCTACCAGTTTATCCGTCCTTCATTTTTCTTTTTCCCTATTGGGAGCCAGTAATTGAAGAACAGGACAGACAAGAGCAATTAAATGTCTGGAGAAAATTAAAAGTAACCAGGCATGCCCAGGAAAAGGCTGAGAAAAGACCTGGGAGGACCAGGCAGGTCCGCGGCACAGAGACCTACCAAAAAAATAAAAAACAATAAACAAAAACAAAATAAAAAACAGTGAATGCTAGAGGACGAAAAATATGATTTTCCAAGTTACCACATTATTAAATTCCAATGTCCAGTTTTCAACAAATAATCAAAAGGTAGACAAATACACAGGAAAGTGTGCCCCAAAGAGGAAATAAGCCAACAGAAATTATCCCTGAAAAGAACTGAATGTAGAGCTACTGCACAAAAATATAAAAACAACTGTCTAAAGACGCTCAAAAAACTAAATGAAGATGTATAAAATTACTATGTAATTAGTAATTAGTAATTTTTTCATAATTACTAATATGAAAAAATGAAATACAAATGAGACAGAAAGCCTAAAAAGAAACCAAAAGGAAAATACTGGAGCTGAAAAGTAAAATAACAGTGAAGAAAAATATACTAAAGGATATAGCTGAGCAGGCAGAAGGGAGAAGCAGTGAACGAAAATATAGGACAATGGAAATAACTGCCTCTAAGGAGCAGACCAAAAAGACTGAAGAAAAGCGAACAGAGTGTGAGGAACCCGTGGGACACACCAGGCGGATTGGCAGAGGCACTGCGGACGCCCAGAGGGACAGAAGGGGAGAGCGCAGAGAGGGCACTGGGCTGAATGGTGACCGCCGACTTGCCGACTCTGAAGAGCCATGAAGTAAACAGCCAAGACACTCAACAACTCCAGGTTAATATGAATTAAAAGAGACTCATACTGAGATATTTTATAAACCTTTTAAAGGCAAGGACAAAAAAAGAATCTTGAAAGTTGCAAAAGAGAAGTGACTCATCACGAACAAGAGATCCTCAATAAGACTGTTATTGACCCTGAGAATAAGAAGGGCTCCTGGTGGCTGATTGGACTCAAATTTTAAAAGAGACCCTGGCAGCCATTTCTCCACCGAGGCCCCTCATGCAAACCGCAGTTCAGGGAGGAGCCTGCCCCGCGTCCCTGCCGTCTGAGCAGCCTTTACAAAGGAGCCCCCGGAGTCCTGTTTCAGCTGACAGGATGGAGGCTTTCCCTGTCCAACTGGAGCTGCGCTGCTATAGATAAATGAACATATTTTAAAAATTTTACTTCATCCTTTCAGTTACATTGACATTCAATACTATATTACTTTCAGGTGTACAGCATAATGGTTAGACACTGATATAATTTATAAAGTGATCCCCCTGATAAGTCTAGTACCCAACTGGCGAAATCATAGTTAATACATCATTGACTATATCCCCTGTGCTGTACTTGACATCCCGATGACTATTTTATAACTACCACTTGTACTTCTTAATCCTTTCACCTTTTTCACCCAGCCCTCAACATCCCCTCCCCTCCGGCCACCATCAGTTTGTTCTCTGT